GTAATTTCAGTGACTTAAAAAAAAAAGGAAGTAAAATTGGAATGTGCTTGGGGACTTGAGTGACAAAATGTTCACCTCAAACAACAAAATAAACAAGGGCATAAAAGGCAAAGTAGAGCCTTGAGTATATCCTACCTAAATTTAAATACCACCTCAAAAAGTTTTGACACACTAGACACTAAAGGCAAAGGACCAGATGAGCTGTGGAGTGACATTATGGATATCAAACATGAACAAAGCAAAAGTCTTACAAGAAAAGACCAAAATCTATGTCAGAAGAGACTAAAACTTGCCCTGATATGAATGGTGGGGGGCATGGAGTAGAGACCCAATGCCCATCTGTAGACAATTGGACATCCCCTCACAGAGGGGTCACAGGGAAGAGATGAGCCAGTCAGGGTGCAGTGTAGTAGCACTAATGAAGCACACAACTTTCCTCTAGCTCTTTGTGCTTCCCTCCCCCCACTATCATGACCTCAATTCCACCTTACAGATCGGATTAGACCACAGCATGCACACTGCTCACTATCATGACCTCAATTCCACCTTACAAATCAGATTAGACCACAGCATGCACACTGCTACAGATAAAAGGCCGTAACACAGGGAATCCGGGATAGATAAACCCTTCAGGGCCAACAATGAGAGTAGAGATACCAGGAGGATTAGGAGAGGGTTGGAGGGGAAAGGGGTAATCGATCACAAGGATCAGCCTAGAACCCTCTCCCAGGGGGACGAATAACGGAAAAGTGGGTGAGGGGCGATGGAGAACGATGTAAGAGATGGAAAAATAATCTATAACTTACCAAGGGTTTGTGAGGGAGGGCAGGCGGGGGAGGGAGGGGGAAGAACAAGTGGGGAGCGGATCTCAGGGGCTCCAGTGGGAAGGGAATGTTTTGGAAATGATGATGGCGGCATGTGTGCACATGTTTGACACACTGGAGGAATGTATGGATTGTGATCAGAGATGTAAGAGGCCCCCAATAAAAGTATTTAAAAATTTTTTTAAAAACTTGCCCCAAACATCCCTTGTAACTAAAGTGAATGAGAAAAAATGAAGAAGTAAATGTACTGAAGATTTCAAAAGGCAATTGAAGAAAACAAAGTATTATACAAAATATTCAAAGACCTAGAGTTAAAACAACAAAGGAAATAGCATGGTTGAGAATTCTTCAGCTGGAAAAACTGAAGAAAAATTTCAAATCTCAAGTCGCAATACTGAAGGAGCCTATGAGCAAAATATTAAATGATTCAGGAAGCATAAAAAGAAGACTGACGGAATAAAGCCACTGTATCCAAAAGAAGTGGTCCATGGTCTGCCATTTCTAGAGGCAAAGGATCAAAAACAGGTGGTGTTGAAGAAGACCAAGTTGCATTGAAGGCAATGGTGAAAATACAAGGCTCCAAGAATTGGTGGAATACCAATTGAAATGTTTCAATAAACCAAGGCACTGGTAGAAGGGCTCACTCATCTCTGCAAACAACTTTGGAAGACAGTTACCCAGCCAACCCACTGGAAGAGATCCATCAGATTTGCGCTCACACACCCCTTCCAAAGGGAAGCACCGAGAATGCAGAAATTACTATAGAGTATTATCAAATTCATATGCAAGTAACATGTCATTGAAGGTAATTAAAAAATAGTTGCAGCAGTGCATCGGTAGGAAAATGCAAGGCATTTTAGAAAGGGGTCTAGAATGTGCAATAGCATTGCAGTTGTCAGACAGATCTTGGCTAGAAGCAGAGAATACCAAAAAAGACGTTTAAATGTTTGTTTGTGTTCCACTGGCTCTGCAAAGGCACTTTGTATGTGGATCATAACAAACTAGAGATAACCATGCAAATTCCAGAACACTAAATTGTGCTCATGGAGAGCCTGTACATAATAAGCCAAGGGGGCCGCTGTTTGAACAGAAAAAGGGGATACTGCATGGTTTAAAATCAGGGAAGGTGTGCACCAAAGTCGCACCCTTTCACCATCGTTAGTCCATGTGTACACCAAGTAAATCATCCAAGAAGCTGGACCTCTGAAGACTGAAGCATTAGGACTGGAGGAAGACTAACAACTGGAATATGCAGATAACACAACGTTGCTTGCTGACCACGAACTTGAAGCACTTACTGACGTAGATCGAAGACTACAGCCTTCAGTAAGGTCTACACTTCAACACAAAGGGAAAAAAATCCTCACCACTGGACCAATATGTAGTACCATGATAAATGGAGGAAATATTGACGTTGTCAAGGAATTCATTTTGCCTGGATTCACAAACCACCACCAGGAAGCAGCCGTGAAATCAAGAGCACAGATTACACTAGGCGAATTTGTTGCAAAAGACCTCTTTAATGTGTGAAGCAGAGGTCCCCTTAAGGCAGCGGGGTTCTCAACCTTCCTCATGCCGCGACCCCTTAATACAGTTCCTCATGTGGTGGTGACCCCCAACCATACCATTATTGTCGTTGCTACTTCATCACTGTCATTGCTACTGTTATGATTTGGGTGACCTCTGTGAAAGGGTCATTCAACCCCCAAAGGGGTTGTGACCCACAGGTTGAGAACAGCTACCTTAGGGCTATAGAGTGCCTGACCTGAGTCTGGGTCTTTTCAATCCCCTCGTATGTATGCACGGGCTGGGCAATGAATAAGAGAGCCTGAAAAAGAAAGGAAATTCTGGTGCTGGCAAACAGTGTTAAATATACTATACAGTGAACCCTCGCCACTTCGCGCTTCGACTTCCGCGGCTTCACTCTATCGCGGTTTTTGCGTAACAGCGCATGCTCTGTCATTACT